GGGAAGAGCAGAATCAGGCAATGGTGGTTCAAACAGAAAAAACATAGGTAAAACACTTTGGCAAAATGAAGTCAGAAACTAAAAATCATAAGTTCTTTTTTTTTTTTTTTTTCATAATTCCTAAAAAGGAACTGTCATTCATACAGAGCTTAGGCCACAGCCTACTGAGGCCGAAAGAAGCCTTGCTGTGAGACTCAGCGGGCTTTGGCTCATGTCCATCAGCTAAACGCTTTCTCTGGCAAGTCTACACAGTGATTCAGCCACAAACTGCTCAGCATAGCCAATTTCAAAACTCCTATTCATATTCTAAAAAAGGCAATTGGACGTCATTCCACAGTCCCAGTTGCACAATTGTCTCCAAACAGGTGGCAGAAACAACATCCGTCACTGGCCAGAAAAGAAGGTCTGGAGCCTGTGCTAGAGCAAGATTTTACATCTAACATTCATACTGTAGAACCAATTTGATGTTTTCCATTGAGATTACTCTCTTTAAAGCACTAGACAGGCTTTTCCCTGGTTTGGTTTTGTTGTTTGGTTTTTTTTTTTCCCCTCTCGATTTCACTGCAGAACAAATATATTCATCTCCTCTTATAGGAAATCACATTAGCATGTGGAACTGATACAGCAAGCAGTAGCAGGCATGGTAATATACTTGAGGGGCTTTCCATTATGGCAGGAAGAAAGATTCACAGAAATTAAATTAGCATTTTTAGATAAAGGTATTAGTAATAGTATTTTGGATAAAGGAGATTGGAGTACATCTCACAGAATAGAAATTTCTGTGGAAAAAAAGCAGATATTTTTACATCTTACCCAGGAAGGATGTAAACCAATAGGCATAAAAACACATTATTTGGCCCATTTTTTTGCAAACAGAGCTTTTTAAAAAGATTCTGTGTCCCCACAACTCCCAGGCAATTTAAGGGAAGGAAATAAATCCATATTTTACCAATCTGACAGGGGAAGAGATCAAAAATTAACAGGAAAACATTTAAATAGTGACTATTGACATTACTATTATGATATTTTTAAAACTGAAAGGTTTGTTTGAACAAGGTGTTTATTTCAATATTTTCCTGAATGAAATTTTTACTGCTCCTTTCAAAATAACATTTTTTTGCTTTAAAACAATCCAGCTGACAAGGGAAAAATGTTGAAGATCCTGCAGATTTAATTTTAGGTTTTGAATTTAGCTTAAAATTTGAGTAACTTCCCTTCTGCTGGACTCCTCACTTCCCCTCTAGCTTTTCAGATTTGGGCCAATGAACAAAATTATCTGTTGTTTGGGCATGTTGTTTGAACAGTGACCCAGGGTGAGCCTGCAATGTGGCGGTACTGCAAGAGGACAGGCAATATCTTGGCAAAGGAAAAACTCTGAGAAGAGCACTGCTGAATTCCCTGCTGCCTCGTGCTTGCTGTAAGCAGTGCATGCAGGGTCAATGCCTGCAGCACAGCTCTCTCTTAGGGCAATGCTCCTCAGCCAATTGCTGGGAATGCTATGGGACAAAACATCACCAGGCCCCGTGGGTACACACCATCAGGAAATGGTGGGTAACGCTGCCGCACACGGCTGCTCTAGAAGCCCCTTGATGAGATAAAGCAAAGAATAAAACTGACTTCCCAAAGAAACAGAAGGCCAAGTTTCCATCATCAGTGAAGAAAATCTGGCCATGCTTTATAGCATCAAAAAGTTCAGAGAGACTTCAGTAGGGACAGGATTTTAAGAGAGTACGTACCAGTCTCCCTACTGAAAAATTCCTTTTGTTTTGAACCTAATGTGGAAAGCTTTTTTGCTTGCCTTTTTTGGTTTTTCTGTTTTGTTTTTTTTTAAGTTTGGGTCAAAGACATGAGAAGGAAATCTTCCTTCTGTAGTAATTAGTGCATGTAAGAACTCGCTGAGGAAGAAATGAAGTATATACTGGAACATTGCAGCATTTCTCAGCTGCAATTTCACTGTTCACATACCTCAAGCTGGAGAACATAAAGGATCATATAAATATTCCCACTGGCACTGTGTCATTTTTTACCAAGAAAAGCATCTTGAAGAACTTGCCTCATGTTTGATGAGAAAAATACAAAATTCATTATGTGATACGCATTCATATTTAATAGAGTTTGCTACAACCCTTTCCAAAGGAAGAGGAAAAAACAAAACAAAACAAACCTAAAAAAAACCCCAAATCAAACCAGAAACTAAACTAAAACTAAATCAAAATCAAATGAAACAAGCAGTGAACATGTTACTCAGCAACAGTCCAAGTACTTCCAACTTGAGCTCTGCTACTGCTTGGTTCAATTAAAACAATTGGTTAGATCTGAGAATTGCTTCCTTTTCCCATTCTTCTTCCCTCTTTGTTTGGGAGGAGAACAGGCAGACAGAAAAATTTCCCCTGGTGAACTGTAACCTGTGTTTGAGAGTGAGGCCAAATTATACAACTGAATCAACATACTTTGATCTCTAACTATCACTTCTCTAGCTTTTCATCGCACATAGCCCATTCAGCTTTGCTCTCCCATTTTCTCCTTAAAACACACCCATTTGCAAGCTGCTGGGGAGTGCTGACCTTGTCTTCAAGATCACCCAACATGACAAAACTACATTAACCTTGCCAAGGAAGAAGGACAAGGGCAGGTTGTGCAGGTTTCCTTTCCCAGGAGAATCTAGACATACAAGAAATTTATAACTGAGAAGTTTAAACACGTTGCAAGAATATAAATATGCTGTATATATATATAAAATGTAGTATATATGCTCGCTTAATATGTCCTAACAGGAATGCTTGCAAAATGTTTGGCAAACAACCAAATGGTATTAAAAGGCTGTCTTTCCTCACTCCACATTGTAATGTTTCAGTTCCTTGTTGTTAAATGAAATGAATACACCAAATAACAAGGGTTGAAAGGGAAAGGTGTACTGCAGAGCCTGCCTAAGCAGGAGCTATATCTGTAGAAACTTAATATCTGAGTAATAGAATGCTTTGATTTTTTAATCAAAGCAGATTATTCATTTTTGCTCCAAAATGAGCGTGTTTTCTGTGTTTTTTTCACAAGCAAGAACTTTTTTTTCTTCTTGAAAATTGAGTTAGGCTGGAAAAGAAAAATTCACTGTAAAGCACTTTAGATAACTCAAATGAAATCATGTGTATCAATCACAATCCTGATACTCAGGAATAACAGAAATCTGAGGTGGAAGAAATCTGAGGAAGATGCACTTCAGGAGCCACTCCAAGCAAATCTAAAACACAATGGTTTGGAAACCTTCACTGATTCCTCCTGCAGTTTACTTTGGCTGACGTGAAAAAAAAAAACACACATATTTTTCATGGAGATCAACTTACATGCTTAATTTTAGCATTTGTAAAGTCAGAAGATTAAATGTGCGCACAAATCTTTGAAGAGGTGAGGCCCAACAACCTTTTGATAGAAAAACAGAGGAATATGCATGATGGTGGATTACATCTTTTTCTCTCTAGATAATATAAAAGCTAAGTGGAGTCTTCAGCACCTTACAGATTAATTATCAATTGCACACAAAGTTTTTCATTCCTTTCCTCATTCATTCCTCCTAGCTGACAGCTGGTAGTTTTACTTTGTTCTTACTTTGATAGTGCAGATATTACTGATAATAAGTCCTTTCAAAGACCTGTGCTTGGAGTTCCTTGCAGAACAGAGTGTCTTCCAGTCAATTCCATTTCATCTGTCAGAGAGTCCAGAGATTTTAAGCAACTCACTTTGAGAGGATTAGAGTAACAGAAGTACCTTGAAGACTTCTTTTGGAGAGGGTAGGTCTACTCTGGAGCACTCAGAGGCACATATTTCCAGAAGAAACTCTGACTTGGTGGCACAAAGGTACACTACCACACTGGTGTAAAAAGGCATTCAGGATAATTTTAAAAGTAAAATTAAAAAACAAAAACAAAAAAACATTCTGTGTTGCTGGTTTGGGTTTGGATTGGACTTTTTTAATGGACACTAGAAGTTACGCTTTTCAGATTTTTTTCCTATGGAAATGAACCACCTAAATGTGATGTACCACCTAAATGTTTTTTGTGAAGAAAACTATGAAATGCTTTGTAGACTCCAGCAGATAAGATACTGTAATATAGTGACTCACAGATCTCCTGGTGTAAGCAGGCTAAATTTTCATAGAGGCTGCACTTTGAAGTCAATCCTACAGTGGATGTTGAGTCTCACCCCTGAGAGAAAGAAAACCAAATCATATCAAATGCCATGCACCTCTGACAGACTCAGGCTGGGAATCAAAACTCAAAATGCATGTAGAGAATGATCCATTGAAGCAAGTCTGTGCACATCTTAGGAAAATAATTTTATTAAAGATATTCACATTAAAAGAACACAACATCCTGAAGTAGAATTAGCATCAAAAGCACACAAAGGACAAAGCAACCAGTTATGCTTATAATTCAGTTATTAATATAATTGAATAAGCTTCAGTGGCTCAAAGAAACCTGTAACAGAAGGAAATGGAGCTTAGAATGAGCTCAGACTGCAGTTCAGACCTCAAGAGCTCATCACTACATCACCCTAAAAAGAGATTTGGACCTGCCCTGTGCATCACTTCAGCAACCCCAAATGTCAAAAGAATCAATTAAAACATTATAAAAGGTAAGGATGGTTGAGAGAACTAATAAAAGTACAAATGGAAATGGCAAAAAATTAACAAAATATGAGCAATGGAAATGACTCCAGAGAGCCATTCAGTCAGAAATTTAGAAAGTGTGACTCAGGAGAATTATGAATGCTAACGTGCCATTGAAAAATGTGAGGCAAATACTTTTATACATAACTGGACAGAAATGAAGCTAAAAGAGCCTATGTAGAACTGAGGGGACAACCTAAGCTCTCACTGCAAGAAAAAAAAGGAGCAAAGTTAATCCACTGCTGGTAGCTGAAATGTGAAGAAACAAGAGAAATTGTTACCTGGATTAATTTATCAGGAATCACCCAGGAGATGAACACATCTAGTGTCTGTTATGAAATGTAATAATTAGAAAAACAAAATTCAATAACCAGGGTCCCACCAAGGGGTAGTTAACCTTTCAGAATGGTATACAAAGAAAGAGCAATGGTTAACAAGAAAACCAGTTTATTTGTCTTCTTTATCAGTCTCAGTACACATTATGTGGACACAGACATGGACAAATTCAGTATTGGCTAGCATATTATACTGTTACCATTCTTTGCCAAGAAATACATTTTTAAAATAACCCACTAACTATGCATCAGTTAATTTGGGATTGCATATTTTAGGCACTTAAGCTTTTATGTCAGCAGAGTTTTGCACTTAAACCTTTCCCCACTGAAGCTCCTGTTTTGAACATCCTGTCCTACTCCCATAAAAACAAAATGCTTGCAGAGACCATTGGCTTTAGCTGTCTCTGTGGCCATTCAGCTACTTGTGTGGCCAAGGTCTTGAATCCTCAAGTATGAGAAACTGAAATGCAGTAACCTAAACTCTGCAAAATTACTGAAATTTTCTATGAATAATTGGTCTTTGGGGAACTTAGCTTAATCTGTGACATATTCCACCCCCTTCATCCTCCTTCCCACTGACCCCTGATCCCTAAAGAAAATTAAAACATGTATTTAAAATGTATTAATAGGAAGAAAGTCCCACATCAGAGATGTAAGTTATGTAAGTAAGTAAGATATGTAAGTTGTAGGAAAGCTATCTCCCCATTAGAATTAAGGAGTGGACAAAGCAAGTAAATGTAAACAGGCAGAATGCTCAAAAACTGAGAAATAGTAGAACTTTGTAAATCACCAAAATCAAGACAGAAACCACTTATTAATAGATATAAAAACTACACAAAACTACATTTTGTGGTAGATAAAATGTAAAGGATCAGAGAACTAAGAACCACAATGCCTTGGAAATAAGGAAGCACTGGATGCGTGTATTCATGCCACTGAGCTCCATGCATTGAAGGGATGAGGCCTAAATATGAACTTAAATTTCATGTTTTAACTCTTGCAAAAATAATGTCAGGCAAATTGTCAGAAAGCTCAAGCTAGTTTCATATGTTCTGGTACATTAACTTATTTTATCCTCACAGCAGATATATCTACACACACACACATACAGACACACACAAACACACACAAAAGGCCTGGGTGAAGTGAAAGTCAAAGAACAAAAATATTTTTTTCTGAACTGTGGAGGCAAAAGTTCTATTGTAATTCACTTGAGGTTTTGGAAGAGCAATTCATGGGTGGTTAATATTTTGCCTGACTCACTGAGAAGAACTAATAAAAGTAAAAGCTGTGCAGCTGCTCCTTCTAATCTGAAAATAAATCACAAAGGCAGGCACAAACAAAAGGCAGGTGAGTTCTCAACTGAACGATTAGGAGGAGGAAAAACGAGAGGGGGAAATAGGTAAAGTAATCCACCAACTTCTTCAACAAAATTTAATCAGAAAAGTGGTTTAGAAAGGGGCCGCAAATCTACTGAAAACAAAGTTTCAAATAACAAACACCAATAAAAGTACAAAATAAATGATAGCCTCAAGGCCAAAGTCTAGAGATTATCAGAGCAATCAAAACGAGCCAGAAACAAACAATCATAAGTCTGCAAAGAAGTCTGTCAAGCAAACAGCTCTCAAAACCAGATTTAGAAAACAAGCTCTGTGCAGGGAACGGTCAAAGGCTGACTGATGGAGCCAATATTTCTACTCCGGCTGGGATTTCTTGGTGAGTGCCAACCTAATGAAACAAAAAGACTTTTCCTAAAAAGCAAGTACACTTTGTGAGGGTAAGAGATCATAAGCAACAGATCAAAAGTTTGCTGCCATAGCCTTAGCATTAAACAGAGCTATTCCCTCTTGGCACTGAAAAATTTTGGTGGCATTGACTTATGTTTACTCTTAGGAAATATATTGGAGCTGTACTGCAGGATACGGTATACATTAGCCCAAGTGACAATAATACACCTTTGGCATAGAGTCAATCAAAATACACACTGAGATTCAGCAACCTTGCCCTGACTGTGGATCTGGACATTCATCTTGGACAAAGTATGCAAAATGTCCCCTTTTTAACCTTCTGCATTCTCCTAAACCAATGAGACTTGGAGGCTACTACAGCTCTCAAACAATTGTGGACTTATATATTGAGGATTAAGGTGTCACAATGGGATCATTTGGTCATACAAGACCCTTGCCTGCAAGATCATAACACCCACAGCAATAACATTTCAGAATATTTCCATCCCTTGTATCTAGACTGTCAGCAAGTTGAATTTTATAATTGTGTATGAATGTTCCAAAATTTAACTATAAAAAACAACAATTTTCTGCCAAATATTAAAAAAGAAAATATCTCCTTTTTTTTGCCAAAATATTTATTCTGGTAAATTTTACTTTTACCACTCACTCTTTTAATAATGAGGCTCTGTTGCAAATCTCCTGTTGCACCTCCCCTGCTGATACAGGCTGCTGCCACATTTGGCAGGGGCAAGCCCCAAACTTGCAAAGTCTGCGCTTATTCTGAACTTTCTGGTGACAAATGCCAGCACTGAGGTTAGCAGAACTAATGCATGAAGATGAGTGCACATCTAATCAAGTGTTTGCAGGGTCAGATCCCATTATAATATTATTAACACAGGATCATTTAATGGAAAGACCAGAAATTTTGCTTTGTGTTGGAGGAATAAATCCCGTACTGTCTTAAAGCTCCTGAACAAATAGGGTTTTCATATTTGCCTGTGTCTGTTGTCTATTTTAGATCTTTGTCATTTACCCTGGCCCACATTTAGGCCTGGAGCAGCTGAGAGAAAAGTCTGGATGTGTTTATTCTTTTATTGCCCATGGAAGCGAGCCACAAGATAGTCCTGCCTGAAAGGAAACTAACCCTGATTGCATGACTGATGGGATTGTAGCGTAAAAAAAAAAGTCCATTTTAAAGTTTTCCCAACAGCAGTGTCTCCTCAAGCAGTGTGACCCTGTGGCTTCATTTAACATTTCTAGGACAGAGTCTGCAAGGTTAATGTGTTAAGACAGTAAAAACTTTCCCTTTGCCTTGGGCACATCACTTCCATTCAGCAAGGCAAATAACACCCCACCTACAGCAGCCTGCCCAGAAGCCCAAATGCTGCACAGCAACAAGCCTCTGTTTCCTCCCGTCTCCTTGTCTCCTTGAGACTGACATTGCCTGGGTGCTGAATAGCCTGGTGGGAAGAGTTCAATGCAGGGTTTGCACTTTCCCAGCCATTAGCCAGCTGCCACCGCATTTCATTATCTTAGGGGGTGCTTTTATACATCAAAGGCACTTCCAAACAGTGAGATGAAGTGGAAGTAACTGAGCTTGGTCCACGTTGTAAGTTGTAGTATTATTTATTGTCGTTATTTTTTGCGCCCCTCTCATGCCATCTGGTCCGCTAACTGTAAAGGCTGGTGACAGAAAAAAGACTCAACACACCCCTCTCAATTTCTTGGAGTGAATCCTGCTGAACAACTAGGCCTTGGAGCAACTGCCTGTTGTTATCAGGACTCTTCATTGTTTTGCACAAGGAGCCCTCTAAAAAGCAGGGGGAAAAAAACAAAGGTAGCAGACAGGATCTCATGTGAAAACAAAGTAAGCAGAGCATGAAAAGCGCCACTGAGATGGCTTTTACTTTGCTTTCTTTCTGATGTAGCCAAGAAATAAAGAACTGAAAAAGATTTTCTTTCAGTCTTCTAAAGAAGTTTCCTGTGAATAAACCAAGGTAGTGAGTTTTGCATAAGATCGCCTAAAATCACTCTTCAGCTGTTTTAACTTACTTCAGCTTTTGTCTTATTATGGCTTTCTTTTAATGACAAAAGCCCATATGGCTGGTGATTTATTGTACTTCTCCAGCATTTGAAACCTGCTTTCCATTACTGGAAACCTCTAATTGATATATTCACAAAATCTTTGGAATTACATTAAAAGGTGAGGGAAAAGTGCAATCTCTCTGTGTGTCACATACTGCTTGTGAGTGGCTTAAACAGGAGTTGTCAGTGAATGTATGATTAAGCTGCACTCTTGCACAGTGGCTTGGCTTTACAGACCACAGAATAAACTACAGCATATTTCTACTTTGTGCCTGCCTGCCACCCAAATGTCCTGCTGCCAGAAAAATAAGCTGAACAAGAAGTGCTCAGACTTTCATACTGACATTTTATGACATAGATATTTTGTCTAATGATTTATTTTATTTGCCTTTAACCATTAACTTGAGACTTTAGAAATACAGTAGCTTGACTGTGAATGAGTAATGGTGATTGACTGTGCAATTTCAAGGTACTATGGCTTTAAAAATGTCCACTTGCAGAACATGCAGAACATCTTTCTATAAAATCACGACATTGCTTCCCATTTGTATTTGCTTACTATGAAAATAAGTATTTCCTATAGTGAATTTTTGTGTGAAAGGCTCTGATTCTGTAAACCAAGTCACACAGGTAAAGATTTTCCTCACACAGTTTCTAAAGGTGAGTGTGTATAAAGAGTTTGCAGCATCAGAGTCACAAATTTGCGTGTCCTTTAGTAGGCTTGATAAACTTAATTCGATATTGGCATGAATAGGAGCTGAGTAGAGGACATTTAATTTGGTCCTCAAATCTCCTTCTAGTTTGCACTCACTGTAGATGACCTGTAGCTGTGAAATATCTCCCTGTAAGCTAGCAACTAGATTGCTATCCAAACTGACTTGGAAACAGTAGTCAGAGAAAGCAAGCTACTGCCAGCCAACATCAAAAACAAAAATCCCTGACCTTGACTGTTCTTAACACAAAAGCCTTTTTCCTGCTGTTTTTCAATGAATGAACGAACGAGAGCCAGCAAAATATATAGCAGACACTTTCTTCTGAAGAGATAAAATAAATCTGTTTTATTTCTATATACAATCTGCTTCACAAGCACAAAGACAGGAAGCAATATTGGGAAATTCTTAAAAATATGATTTGTGCTGGATAGAGTCTCTTTCTTCTCCTTTATATCACTTAAAACAAACAGTGAGCCAAGAATTTCCTGAACTTTTGCAACTTGCTTGGAAAATATATTCTGCCTTCCCTGCTACTGTTTTATGAAGAAAAGGTTTATTCCTAATGGTATGTTTTGAATTTCACTTAAAATAAAACTGCATCTTGTCTACTCTGCTCCAGCTCTACTCCTGCCGTGCCAGCTCTCATTGTAATGGGATTGAACAGGTGCTGTGACACAGCTTTATTCTCAAGCTGCACACAGATAATCGTCCCCATTTTAGAGCGTGGCAGGCATCCCTTCCTGGGTAACCAACCCTGCACCACACAAATGGAGAGAACAGCCATAAATAAATAAGTCCTTTGCTCAGTTTTAGAAATATGAGCAAGCCAGATGAATCCAGCAAGTCTTCACCAGACAGATTTGTGCAGTACCCCAAAATGAGCTGCCCACAGGAGGTCTAAGGCTCACGGGACAGATGTTTTTATGCGGATGAACTAGGAACTGCTCAAAAGCAATATGGCCAATGCAAGTAGGTTTCCCATCTGTTTCAGGCAATAGGATGGCACCTCTTTTGTCATTTCAATGAACATTTATTCCCCATTGAGGACCAAATGGGTAAAACAGGGTCCCTTGATAGGCTGGATGGGCAGCATTTTACCCCGGTGGCCCCACAAGCTGTCATTTAGGCTATGGCACCTGGACGAGACACAGCTCTGGGAGGAAGCACGCAGTGTCTTCTGCAGGGAGATGGGCAGCCAGCACAACTCCACTCTACCAGGGTTTTTGGGAGGGAAACAGTGGAGTAGAATGAAGCTGCAGGCCACAGGGCACTGAACAGCCCTGGGAATAGAGGGAAAGGCTCCAGTAGGGGCTTGATCTCTGGAGATGTGAGTAGTTGGTCTTGGCACTACATTTGTCTGGGGAGTCAGGCTAATTTCACCCTCTGAAAAGCTGGATTAGGGAAAAAATCACTTAATTAGCCTTCAGGCTCAGTTCCTCACCTGATGAAAGCAGGACCATCTTTCACTGTCCCACTGGAGCAGGCAGCAGCTGAGGACGTGGCCCCCAGCTCTTTCTGCCCTGCTGCAGGCTGTCCTCTGGCAGCAAAGCCCTCAGCCCCTCACTGTGGGCAGGTGCACTCTGAGGGCAGGCTGCAGCTTGCCAAAAAACCTGCATCTCCCCTGGAGAGCGCGGTCCTCTCCAGCCTCCACCTCTCCTTTGCCGCTCTGCCCGCCTGTCAGATGGATGCTTTTCTCTGCCAGCTGGTTTGGAGCAGCACAATCTGCTCCTACAGCAAGGCTCTGGAGCAGCAGGAAGGAAAAAGGCAACTGGATCTGGTAGTTCCTTGCTGCTATCGGGAAAACAGGAAAAATTAGAAAGAAAAAATGCAAATGGCACTGCATTCACAGGTTACCTACAGGCCTTCTCTTCCAGGGGAAAGGGGAATGTGCAAACAAGCTGCACTCAGGATTTGCTGTCAAAACACGCAGCAGCCCTGGCTGAGAACTGGACAACCAGGTCCTAAATGTGATGGTCAGAGGAAAATAGGAGTTTAAATGATGCATCCCATTCACCAAAACCAGGACAATAGTAGGGTCCCATAAGAAAGTGTATTTCCTCTGCTTCAGAGTATCTTTAAATACCATGGCAGCAAAGACTAAAGATAATAATAGTTCTCACTTTGTTTCAGATATGGTAAAGTAAAAGCAGTTTTCTTCGGATTTATATTTCGTTAAAGGTCACCGTGAATTTTGACTCTCTTCTGAACTGCTCTGCTGTTACCATGCAGGGTCAGTGTCTGGACAACCCTCCCAACACACCAACAGCTAATGAGCAGTGACAATAAGTTATGAGGCACAATTCAAGGAAACAAAAAACAAAAATGGAAGGATATGAATTCTACAGAGCACACAAAGAAAAAATGGGTGGGATGCTCGTTTCCTCAAATTGTGTACCAACTTCATATGTTAGCTACAAACTATCCCCCATAAAAGGATGAGGGTATCATCTTACATCCCACCTTTGTGTTCTTTTTCCAGCACTCCACTGGGGATCCAGATCTCTGCTTCTTCTGTTGGAAGAACTGTAATGTTTTTACATGTTTTTGAAACATGGAATACAGTTGTTGACACGATTCACATGCTGGTCTTGTAGCGCAGAAAATCAACAGATGACTTCAAAATATCTGAAAAATAAAAGAATCACGGTGCAGGCGTACACTAACTTACGCTCAAATGATAGTGCTTGAACTATATTTAGCAAGACAACAAATAAAGGATGGATTACAACATCATGAAAACAAAACATATTTTTCATATAAAATCTTGCAGCAGCTTTCAGACAGAATTAATCTGCATTTCTGAATGAGATATTTTTAACATATATTTATAAAAGCCCTGGGTTTGGTTTCTTCTTTCTTCACTGTCTCTTGTTTCCCCCAAAAACAACACTTTTTTTTTGTAACTTAATAAATACATTTTAATCCAGTTGTTTTGTTTCTATGTTATCATTGCTGTCTTCTGCTTTCAATATGATACACACAGTAGCTAAAAATGCTGTTGTACTGTTACACTGTATGCAGTACACGGTGTACCAAGTGCATGTTTATTCTTAATCCTTAGCAGTTCTCAGTCATGAGCTAACAAAACAGAGCTCTTTTTTTATATTTTTTTGATTGTTTTGGGTTTTTTTTGTTTTTTGTTTGTTTTTGTTTTGTTGTTGGGTTTTTGGTTTTTTTTAATGGGAAAAATATGGAAAAATCCTGTATCTATTTTAAGAAAGTATTTTCTCCTCTGGTATCAAGAGGTTGGAAACATTGGCAAGATGCAGGATTTCCATAAAACAATAAGAAGTGATTCCATACAAAAATACCGATTTACAGATCAAATTTATACATCTTTCACTTCACAAAAGTGGAATTGCAAGGCAAAATAAATGTGTTATATCTGTAATGTGGCTTTTTCTAAAGAACTATTCATGTGTCTAGGAGACACTAAAAACAGATTACTTAAATATCTCCTGACCATTACAGCAAAGAACATATTTGTTAATTTTTTTTTACATCAAATACACGCTATATGAGGAAAAGTTGTACGCTATATAGTAAGCATGGGTTTAGGTCAAAAGACACAATAGCAAAACATGTAGTATAGTATTTTTCCAGACAAAGCAAAATAAATTAATATTTTTTCCATTGTTAGAATTTGACAGATTAGAGGCAAAGCCAGAGTTAATCAAATCTAAAAAGAAATGAAACTGAAAGAGGACACTCTTTAGCAAAGCAAACTTAGTTTGACAGTGTTAAATAGATAGCTGGAATCTGCTGGGAATACATACCTTGGTTTCATCTGATTGACCTCATATCATTGCTATGGTGCATAACTACACCTGACAGGTCATTGATTGTCAGTATGTAAAGCAGATCCTTGGGGAAATAACTTGGCAGAGAGCAGCTTCCTGTGTTTTTCACATTCCCACAGCAAAAATTCAAGTCCCTACTCCAGTATTCACCACATATAGAGAAGAAAGAAAAACAGTGCTCTTACGAAAGGCTTTATAAATGACAAAGATGGTTAGCAACTGCCTCACACGTCAACTAACAGATTTCAAGCTGAAATCACAAATATGACAGAATAATGTTGATTTCAAATTTCAGACTGAAATAAGCAATACATTTTTTCTCTCTTCATCCCAGCTTTCACTCCACAACTCCAATAACTTTAACACTTTTCATGTTCAGTCCTGCTTGATAATTTTGCCACAAGTATGCAGCACACACACACGTGCACAATAAAAAAACCCCACAGATTAGAATGCTGTTTATTCTGCTGCCACAAAAGCAATTTCACTCTACTTTGTGTGACCAAATGTACCATAATGTTTTCGTCACCAAATTAAAGAGAGTATGCCTAATGGCTTATACAGTGCTACTACACAAGAACCCTATTCAAACATTTGCTCAAGTCATGCATGGCTTTAGTCACATGCATAATAGCCTACAGACAAAAGACACAAGAGACAAGGAGGGCTTTATGTATCAAACTGAAAGTAGTATTTCCCTGTGCTGATACTATGTAAACATCCGAGATCTGCAGGATGTCATATTAATATGATTTTTTTTTTTATCAGAGAAAAAGGAAGATTAATCAATGTCTATAAAAACAGTACCTGTGTCTGGAAAGAATGAACACGTATTCAAAAATGATAATGAGAAATTTAGATGTCGAAAAAACCAAACAAACAAACAAATATCCAAACAATAAAACAACAACAAACCAAACCAATGTTTTTTACATGTGTACACGTTTACAACAAACTAATCAATATTACTTAATATAGATCAATCAAAAAGCCTTTTTGTCAGGATATAAAAGAGCCATTCTTTGAGGGTTTTATTAGCTAGATGGACATGCCCACAAATTCAGGAAGAGACATAATTAGGTAAAAAATCTTTCTCTGTTGAGAGTGTTCAGTGATAGCATACTTCAATGCCTGATGCCTGCATAAAGCCTTGCACATTAGCACGGGGCTACTGCTCTGCAGCCAACGCCACCCATAGGGTGCCACCCCAAGAGACAAGGGTAGGGAGAGGAAAACTGCTGGGCAAAATCACCAATTAATGTAAACTGATGGGACAACCCCTCCTCCACCCCTCACCTTCACAGCAGCCAAAGATGCACTTCACAGCAGCAAACAAATGCAACTACAAAACTACGAGTGCAATCGGAGCAATCCGATCACAGGTCAGACATACAGACATACTGACATACAACTCTTCCATGAATCTGGTCAGTCAGCAGAGTTGTCTCACTTACAGAGTTGCCTACTCTGTAACACAGGACTGGCTTCAGGATAAACTGCCATTTTCCAAGCAAAAACCAAAGGACCTGGAAGGGATGCAATCCTAGGGATCAAGTTCTTGTTTCCATCAAGACAGCTAAATGTACCGCTTCTACATGGTTCAATTATTTAAGAATGCCAATAAAATGAAATATTCAGAAAAGTTCAGTCTTGGAGTCTCTTTAATAGACAATCTTGCCTTGTAATATGCATTTCATATATATAGAATACATCTGTAGCACTTCCATCTGTACAGTCTGAAGTATGTTTGAATGAGATCAATACCAATATTCGCATTTTCAAATGGAAATCAGGGTATAAGGAAAAGAGAAGTGAACTAGCCCCAGTCAGTCCCCTGAAGATGAACCAAATGCTTTCTAGACCAAAGATTTCTGAGTCCACATATCAAATCTATGAGAATGTGTTCTCTTCCTTAATACCATACAGGGGCACCAGCTGACAAAGACCTCACTATGGCTAAGAGTTGCGTAATTCTATTCACACTTACGTGTCAAATGGAAGTTCATTCCACAACGGAAAAAAAATTGTTAATTTATAGAAATGGAAACTTTGATGGGAATGGTTTTACGTTTCCTAAGATATTGAGGAAGAAATGGTTGCTCAGGTCCAGAATAAAATTTTTAGTCAAAAAGAATGAGAGAGCTGTCTGAAATAGTTTCATAGTTTGAATCCCCAGGTACAGTGTATTTCCCAATCAATATTTCATACTCAGACAGCCCAAAAAAACAGACTGGTGATGTGAGGTTAATGGAAGAACTGCTTTGGCATATTTATATCTGGTGTGCCTGCGGCCCACAGTGTCAGGAGAACTGAATTTCTGAGGTGATGTTTGTCAAATATTCTTCCAAGTGTTAATTCCAGGTGATCTTATTCACTGCATGGTAATAAGAGGTGAACAAAATCCTTCCTCCAAAAAGAAAAACTCAACTAAGCAACAAAGCAGACAAAAAAGCTGTAAGGCCTTACTGGGTAGGCTGCAGGACGATGCACCCTTGGGAGGAAGCAGAGCTGCTGATCTGGGATTAGATACAGGCACTGCCCTTTGCAGAGTGTTTTGCAGGATAGTTATCTGGCTGCTGCACACACTGGTACACCCACAGCTATGGGAATAGAGCTGCTCCTACACAATACATATTTTCCTTCTCGTATCTTGAACATATGGCTACAAAACCTGAGCCTTGTTAAGAGACTATCTCCATTTACCACTACATGTAGCTGTATTGTCAACATAGTTTTTCAGACTGTGTACACTAACATTTCTAAAATTAGAGAAAAAACACATGTGACATGGCAGAACCTACAGATTAACTATGCCCTTAGGAATTTAAAATATTAGAATAGACTGAGCAATATTTGCCTGTGATTTCAAATAATTACTGCTCCCACCCTGAGACCCACCTTGTCAATATTACCTGCAAGATGCTCCCAACAGCCTGCACTGCCTCTCAGCTCAGACACTGTGGTTGGGTCCTTTGTACCAGAGGCACAAATAAACCTGGCACTCCCCAGTGCCTGTCCTGCCCACGGTTTTGTTTTTGTTTTTTTCCCCAGTTCCTAACTGGGGAACAGTTGATCAGTGGTGCCCTGGCCAGGCATCAGGAATAGATATGAAGCAACGGAAGGAAACTTTGACAGAATTCCAGATTCTTGCTCTTTTGTCCTGTGTCAGTTTGAGCAAGGGTTATACCATGTGCAGATCCGAATCCTAACTCGCTCATCAGGACTGACCCTTGGACAAGCCTCACACCACCATTTGCAGGACATGAGCCTATATTTAGTGCTTGGACAAGGCAAATGGAAGCGTGCTAAGGCTTGAAATTAAGGTTTTGACCTTGGCTTAACATTTGTGACAACATATGCAGATACAGCAGGCAGCTCCTTTACTTACCACCATACAAGCTGTGCAGGTATATTAACCTTAAGTTTGCTCTTTTAGTATTGACAGAAACAAATCATTTATGAATAAGTCAAATTTCCCATAAGTTTTTAACATTAAGCTCTATGGAGTGGAAATAGAGTCTCTTAAAGCCAGCAAAGAAACTACCATAAGCTTTACTGAATTGATTTTCAGGTTATAAGAACTACGAAATACTAGAAATAGCTTTTTATTTTCTTAAGGGACTTTGAAAAAATAATGAGAATACAGGTAAAATATAACTGAAGTTTTGTTGTTGAGATTTCTTTTTCCCCTCCCGCTTTGTTTGCAAAAGAAAATATAGACCACTTAGAAACATCTTCCAGAGATAAAAATTCTTTTGAAAATTGGGATTAAATTGAGTGAATGAATTTGACAGGTGGAAACGAGGGGAAAAAAATCAGAAACATTGAAAACCTTGCTTTCTGTATTTGCTCATCAAACCATGTAGGTTTCTGATTGTAGGATGTTTTCATCAAAATGCTGCTAAAGCTTTGTACAAGCAGCAAGAATTTTAATGGATTTTGCTTTTGAGTAATTTGAACAATTTTCTTCCATTGTGTTGTTTGATCCCTAAATATGTAATTTCCATAACTTTGATTATTTATTATGACATGACATGTATGCAGCCCTGAGTAGCTAACAAATTCATCTTTACTGTGAGCCCAATGCAGGAGCAGAATGTACAAGCTGGTTGCTCACCCTGGCATCCACACCTCTTTCAGAGGTTCCTCACCGCTACCCAAAAGCTGTGCAGAACTCTAAAGCCATGCAGAGAAGGAGCATTCTAATGAGCCTGGGCTCTCTGATGATGCAAATCTGGTGCAATACTTGTGCTGCTGCTCCCCAGGGCTGCTCCCAAGGCACATTTCTGTAGAAGGAGCCAGAAAAAGGCACAGGACCACGGCTTCTCAGAGGACAAAGCTGCTTCTTTCACCACCAACACGACAGTGCACAAGGTTTCAGGTCCCTAAAGTCCATTTAGTCAAGCACGTCAAACTCTTTCAGTATTACAGTTACAATGCAATTTTTATTTGTAAATGGCTACTTTCAGCATTACAGCAGCAGGACAGACATGAACTTAGGCAAAGGTATTTTGTACCAAGGAGCACAGACAGGACAGGATGTCCAGGATCTTTAGCTTCAGCCCCTTTTCCCTCACTGTCTTGCAGGAACTATTTCATACAGATTCTTTCACAAAAATTGATGGAAATATCTATGGGTCTTTTATTTAAGAAAATTAATAAAAAGCAATATTCCTGGCAAAGAAAAATAAGGTAATTCTGAGCCACCAAAAGGCTTACACATAATGTCAATTTAAAACAAAATGCAGCTGCAAGGTCCCAAAATTAACTGCTTCCCAATCATAACACTAAAATGCAGGGAAAACCATCCTATGTTTATTGATGCAATACCTGCATGTCTGGCCACAGGGATTACTTCCATGGATCTGACTGACTCACAAAAATGCAGAGGTTATACAAGAAGTTAGGTTTAATAATGACTGACGGAGTATACAGTGAAAGACAAAAGTTCCTTATTCATTTAGGCTTCTTGACTGAACTTGTGCTTAAGCAAAAATAAATTAAAGATGAGTTCTGTAACTGCTTAAATAAGAAACACACCTCACAGTCAGAGAGCTGGATAACCTGTGTTCTCTCTTCCCCTACAACACACCATGCTACGATATTCTGGTCAACGTATAAAAAATGATAGTGCTTTTCAACCACATTTATTGAGTTTTTATGCTCCTTACTTGTGGGGCTCTCACCTCCTAGAAGCTTGAGTGTAATCTGTGTTTTAATTTCTAGACACTAGTGTATTTATGAAAATAAAAGACAAGATCAATCAAACTTCTATCTTTCAATACTGTGGTCCATCCTGAAATACTGTACTTAACAGAGACAGTTCAAAGCCATGAGGAATCTGAAGCAGGTAACTTCTTTGCCACTATGAAATGGCAACTGATGATCTGCACTTCTGAGATGTATTTGGGGTTCTAATACATGTTTAAACATGCATTGAAACATATGTTTCTTTTAGTCATTCAGTCACTTTTCTGATATAAATTCTGGTTATGTTTTTGTTTCCCTTTTCTATTTACCTTATCCTCTACCCACTAAACTGTGATCTCAAAATGATAACATAACCGAAGCAAAAAAGCAGGCATCAAAGAAATGAAAATATTACTTTTGAAAGGTCGCAATTTCAAGAGTATAAAAAGAGCAGTAAAAGCACCTTTGCCTTTCAAGATTCTTTGAGAACCTCTCCCTTTCCTCCAGGCTTCTTATACCAGTTCAGGTGAACATACAAGGCTTCATTTTCAGTGCTTCTGCGTACTCCTTTATGTCTCCCAGAGCAGAAGTTTTCTTATATTTCTTCACTTTCATAGTGATAGAAGAGTTGAGTACACTCAGAAAAGTGGAGTAAGACCAAGTGTTTGAAAAGGCATTGTTTATTGGTACATACAGATTGTTTAATCATGCAAGTACTTTAAAGAACCAGAGCTTAAACCAATTTAGCGAGCCTTGAAAACAAAAGAACAGTCTCTAAAAGTGTATGTATAATTGATAGTATTGGAAGGAGGGTCCTTCCTCTCTAAGAAAAAGCTGATCCCTAAATACTCATATGAAATATTTATGAGGGGTTTTTCTTTTTTGTTGTTAGGGCAGCTGCTTGAGGCAGAGCTTGGGAAGAAAGCACAAAAAAACCTGCATACTGTTAACAAACTTCATACCCACATGTGAAGAATGACTAACTACACAGCATGGTATGCCCAGTTACTCTTCAAGGAATGCAGGAAAATGAGAAAATGGCCAAAATATAAAAACTTAGACATTTGTAAACTCAGTCTAAGGACAAAAATAAAGGATAATTTAATATGTTATTAATTTTTCTATTGTTTCAACCTCTCAGGATATCCAGGTCTCCACATTTCATACATCTTCAAATAACAAACATACTAACTCTGTTTAACTTAGGTATATTTTCCAGCAAGTCACATGGCCTTGATATGCAGCCATCAGGAAATGGGGGTCTTGATTCCTTTGGTGGGCTGCTCAAAGGATTAAACTCATTGTGAAAAATGCGTCTTCTACTTCCCAAAAATGCCTCGATTCAGGTATTTCCCAGACTTTCCATTATGTCCTTTCCAAAAGGCTGTAGGATTCCTCCTCACCCAGTACTTGATGCAGGGAAGGTCCTTTCAGGTGGTTAAGTGGCTTCTCAGACCTGTCCTTTTGATATGCCAACCAGGATAGAGAGCTATTTCAACCCTGATGTCACCCTAGTGGCACTGCTCAGCCCTCTCCCCAGTTTCTGAAGTCCTTACACCAACATTGACAGCAACATGAGAAGCAGTTTCCCAGCATCTGTCATGTATTTCAAAGTAAAACCACACCTTTCCTTTGGCCAATCGTTACACACCCAAGGGTCTCTCACTTTCTGCCCTAACATTGTGCTGTCAGCTGCTACTCTTGCTCATCTGCAAAGCCGCAAATTTATCCCAGCCACTGCACACAGTTTCCCACTGCATAGACAGAGGACCTGTATTTCTTACTCCTGACCTTGAATAAGTTTCAGTAAGGTCAAATATAACATAAACAGACTGCTTATAAGCACTATGGACCACTCGGTATCAGCACTTTATTGCCCTTGTTTGTGTTCCTCCAAATGGTGGCACACAGGCATTTTAAGAGCAGAGATTTTATATGAACTTTCAAAACACTATTGAAAATCCTTAACAGCACTTTACAGTGCTGGTCCCTGCAGAACCTGACTGGAAGCATTTCCATTCACTGATGAGTCTCCATTGACAGTCTTTCTGGGAACAGGCAGTTCTGCTCCATTTATTGTGTCCTATGATACATTACACAGTTCTTAACAAAGCTATTAAGACTGGAAAAAATATCTAAACAAATGAAAACTCTGTATGTTAGAGCACCGAGGGACAAATCCTATCTCTGAAATCAAGTAGAGCCTGAGAATGTGTTTTGTTGAGAGTAAGAGCAGACACAATCTAAAAGAATTAAACCACAATGCAGTCTTATATTGCCACATTCAAAGAGGAAATTAATTTTCAGCAAATCAACATCTTTCCCTGTAATCCAAGGTAACAATAATCTGTGTAATCTATGTAAAATATTCGTAATATGAATATTTATCAAATATATAAATATATATCAAAATATTGGCTGAACCTATCTAATCTGAACAAAAATCTACATAATATGAATGACTAGTCAGCTAAGAAAGTTTTTAGTGGATTTAACTAAAACAATCATTAGTATTCACAGGTATAGATGAAAAGTCAAGACTAAATACTAATTTACTTTGAAAAATCAAACTAGGCAAAAGAAAGTGAGCTGCCATTATTTATTTCTAAGCCTATTACTTTGCAGGTGGGATAAATTAATTCCATGACCATATCAACATATCATCATGCAAAACCTATGATATTCAGTTGACAGGGGATGTTTAAATATCATTGTATATAATAAAACACAGAGCACAAGATAAAAACAAAGAGACTGCCTCCTACCTTGTAAAGGAAACACAAGTGAAAATCTAATGAGAAAAAATGAAAGTTAAAGGGCTCATGTGCT